AGGAAAGAAAAGCGGAAGAAAAATTCGAGAGCGCATTTATATGTACATATACGTGCAAAACATCGTCCGCATAATCAAGTGCCATTTAAAATTCATGCCCCCCCCCCCCGCAACGGCGGATCTTTAAATGCATAATTTCGGATAAACATTTAATATTTACGCACGTGGCTCTCGTAGTATGGACGAGCGACTTATGTTTTATAAGTACAGGCATTGGGATGTATAGGGAGAAATGTAGAGATACGAATTGTTACTGCCTCTGATGAATAAATTAAAAGGCAACCGATAGATTGACATTTTACTTCCTGCAAGCTTTGGATGAGCAGAGACAAGCTATATGTAGCGTGATTTTACTGCGTTGTAGTTTTTTTTTGTTTTTTTTTTTTACTTGTTGATATCTATTGTCAACTAAATCGTCATGGTCCAAACGATGTATTTCTAATTGTTATACAAATACGGCACTATTATTTTAGGGCCTCTTGTAAGTACAATGATCAAAGTAACAAAGAAGATGATAATGATAACGACGGTGATGATGATAATTGAAGCACGAAATCGGTGCCTGAGCGCTATATTTTGCGCGCGCGACTGTAATAGCCAAGTTGGGCGCGCAAGCTTTGAAAGCTCCGCCGCTGGAGCCGCCCGTGTTCTTCGCTTCCTCCTCGGCTGCGCCATTGTTATGCAAATAGGGGGGAGAACTTTCCGTGGAAATGAATCAGAAATTAGATGGAAAACTTGCTTAAGCCGAGCCAAGATGGCGAGATCAGCTGCACCGGCGCTATACCTCCTTCTCTCCCGTCTGGATTATTAATTTGCGGCGGAGAGACATAAGGGAGGGGAGAAAAAGGTGTTGTCACTTACGAGCTGTCCAGCTTGTTTTTTCATTAAACCGCTGTCGTCCTTTCATCCAATTGGAGGTCCGACATGTGGTCACTGTACCTATATACGCCTTTTTTTTTTTTTCTTTTCCTCTTGACGGAGAAAATATAAATGTCTATAAAAAACGTTTTAATTTACGTTTTTCGTTTCGCTCGAGCTGTTAATTGAGTTTCCAACCGCATGAAAAGGAAGGAGTGCGCAGTACGTGGGCTTTAAAAACGAGAATTTAGAAAAAAAAAAAAAAAAAAAAAAAAACGTCCCTCTGTGTGTATAAACGTATATGATATACCCAAGTGTGCACAGCCGCGCGAGAAAAGGCATTAAAGGTGCAATGGGAAAACAAAAGGGGGCCCGGATAGCGGAACGAATGAGAAGTGCACTCGCACAATGGACTAGCTGTGGAAAGCGCAAATCTGCCACCTGTACGGCACGTACACAGAGTCTCTTTTTTTTTTTTTTTTTTTTTCACATATAGCAATAAAAGGGCGGAGTATGCTCATGCCGTGCCAAGGTAAAAATCAAAAAGCGCTTTTCGGTATCACGGGCGAACAAAGGAGCGGAAAAAAAATTAATGGCGCGCGTAGGGATTTCCCACGGCTTTTGAACCTGTGCAGTGTATATGTACACGCGTGGTGGGTACACACACGCGTGCGATGCCGAAAGCTCGGGTGGAGGGGAATTAATTAAAAAGGCAATTTCGAGAGAGGACCGAATATAAGTAGCTATACGCCCCCGCGGATGAAAAATCCTTCTCATCTGAAATTCTGCCAGTGACGACTCATATATGTATATTATATTTTATGATGTTTTCTTTACGTTTTTTTATTCGCTGGCGTGTGTGTTATTGCTTTCCGTAATACTTGGTTATTTGCAAAAAATAACCGTATTAACGAACGCCATTTTATTGTGAGCCACGATATTCCCCTTTGACTGTAGTTTTCAGTTACATTATTACCAGCAAATTAAATTGTTTTTACTATTGCTGGTTTTTCATTTCGCAGCGTATATTGCGTAGTTACAGGTATCCTCGTTTGCTCGTTATTTGTCCTCTCTGGTGCGCTAAAAGATACACGTAGCGTACGACCATCGTTTCGAAATTCAAACAACAAAAAATTCAATTCCAGTTCAACTCTACAACTGCAACTTAGGGGAAAACAGCAAAATTTTAACCTCACAGTATACGGAACGGGCATTCCATAAAAGTCCGATGTAGTCCCGCGGTGTTTACCTTAACGCACTCCTCCTTGAATGTGAAATCCCATAAATTCGCATCGACGCGTCGCGAAACGTACACCTCGCGAAGGAGAAAAAAAAACCCATCCTCTTCCCTCGGAAGACAAGCTCGCCAAGAGTGAAATAAAAATTACGAGGCAATTCGCGAAACTGCCATAAACCTCCTCCCCCCCCTCTCCCCGAGAGGAAATAAAATTTAAATTGCACCGCCATGGCTTCTCGGCGCGTCGCCGTTCAAAAGACGCGTAACCCCTTCCACGGCCATTTAAGCCGATACAAACAGTCGGGCGAGTATTATAAGTAAAACGCTAGGGATGGCAAAGTTAAGGCGCTTCCACGCTTTATGAAAATGAAGTCGCGCGTGCATAATGCGCCGCGCGCTCAACTTTTTAAATTCATTTTACAGTTTCTCGGACTCTTTGGCTGTCTTTTCCGCGCGGGAGAAGAAGAAGAGAAAAGAGCGACAGCGAAGCTGTATAGAAAAAGTTCGAAGCTGTGTGTGTGTGTGAAATATCGAGAAGGGGGTGGGGGAAGGATGAAAAAGCCGGGGACCCGAAGGGAATTTTTCTTCCGTGCGGATAAATGTTTCCCTTTCATTTCGCGGAAAAATACCGGTCCACCGCGCTTCGATCGGAATCGCGTATCCGTTGCGCCTTTGCTCGACCGATTTTTCCCGTATTTCATCCCCTTTGTCGGCGCTAAACAAATTTTCGTCTCCGCTGCATTGATTTTTTCTCCGCGCATCAGCCGTTTTATTCCCGTACTCTCGTCTTTAAACATTTGAATTTCGATCAAAAGTAGACACAACCGCTCGGTAAAACGAGTCCATCGGAGCAAACGATACCGAAGCAGAGCCATCCACGATTGAAATTGTCACAAAGCCAGTGACCATTGCGAGGTAAAAAGTTGCCGGCGGCAAAATTTCAACCAGGGGAAATAGTAAAAAAAGTATTCCGATGAAACCACGTACGTACAGGTGTACCCATTGGAATTAAAATACATTTAAGTAAAACAAGTTAAAGCAGAAACGAGCACACGGCGAACGAGAGAGAGTGGCAGAGGAGGGAGGGATGTAAAAGGTCGAACGGAACGCGACTAGTTTGGCACAGTGATAGGGTACACGGTAGTATAGGAAAGAGGCGGGAGGTCGGCAAGGGGTTATTGGGCGTGGAAAGTTCGAGGCGCTGATATAGACACGTAATTCCGGGAGTTATAACTAGGCGCTGCGAGAGTACACGTCGTTAACAGAGCACAGGAGGGCGCAGCAGAGTAGGAGTTTGATCGAAACGAGTTCGTTCCACTTGGCGATGGGTGCAGGTATACCTAATAGACTCTACACCACAAGGTCTACGTATTGGGGACTCTTTTGCACTCTACTTATATTATATTCTCCATCACTAAGTATTGACACTTGTACTCAGCAAAAACTTTACCAATCCACAAATATATGTATACAATACGTATATGTAATAAAGGGTTGAAATCCCTTATATATGTATACATATGTATGAAATAAAGAAATGGAGCCGTAGGTTATGCGTTCCGATGATTTCGGGAGAATTGTCCGGAGACGCAGCTGGACCAACAATCGGCTTAGCTCTCACGTCCGTGTGTGCAAGAGAGGCGAGGTATATGCAGGTGGATGGCGCGCGTGTGCGCTTTTAATATAATACACGTGACTCGTGTGTCCTCCCCCGTTGTATATACGGCGCGTGCATGTGCAAGACGGCCCGTTCCAAGTGGATAAAGCCTACGTGCGGTCAGACCGTCCCTCCCATTCTCCGAAAGATTTAATTAGCAGGCTGCGCTGCAGGGTAACCATGGCTAGGTATAGGTGTACACCAGCAGGCGTGCGCTGGGCCCCGGAAATTCCGACTACTCTTGCATACCAGATGAGGAGAGCCACCCCGGGCGCTTAAGCGGTGCACACGACCCCCTCTACCAACCTATATAGCTCCTAATACTTCTCTTGACGCTGTTGTCGTCTCTCCCCCACCCGATTTCGCACCTCCTCTTTGATATAAGCCGCTGCAGCCCCCTTCGCACGAGCCCCTACGTACATACGTACGTTACATGGCTCGGTAGCTATACCCTGAGATGGTATCTTTGTGTATTTTCGGAGAGGAGCTATTAGCTCCCTTGGCCCCCGCCGACGTATTTACGGCCGTCCTCGTCCGATGGAGGCCCGAGACGAAACCATGAGCAGCTACATTCTCCGGAGGAGGAGATGCGTGCGATAAGTCAGCCTGTCGATGCCCGATAGCGCGAGGCCCGACGATGGCTACTAATCGGATGAAGGGCCGAAACGAGGGTCGCTGCTATGTAGACTGTTGCGTACTTGATGTATATATATACGTACATTAGTACATAGCCAAGGGTACACATATATAATGTACGGTGTGGAATGCTCAAGACGGTCGAGTATCGCGCGCCCCCTAGGGGCCTCTCTCCTAAGTTATGCCCCCCCCCGAATCGAGCGCCCTGGATGTGTATAATATATACCCACTCCCTTGACGGGTATATGGAGTGGGTGCGTGTGATATCTATAGGCCTCGAGTTTATCCGTGGGGGCTACTCTGCTGTACCGCTGCGCTTCGGCCTCGTTTGTACACTTGTATGGGATATTAAAATACATAACGCTCATTCTTTGTTTTGTTCGTTATCTTCAAAGATTATTTTTATTATTATCATCATTCTGTCGTAATTGATTTTACTTTTTCTATCTTGTAATGATGAGACAATATCTATACTGTATGTATACATATATATATATATATGGTATCCGTATCTTTTGAGCAATTTGTGTGTGTCTCGTGCTATACGATGTACCTGGGCACGAGGTTGTCTAACCAATGTGTTTGTTTGTTTGTTTGTTTGTCCAACTTTAGTGCCGAGCAACGCGGCTACGTGTCCGACCGACAGTGTAGCGATGGACGACGGTGAATGCAAATGCATCTCGCCGTGTCCCAGGCACGATTGCCAGCCCGGACTGCAGGCCATCCGAGTGCAGGAGGCCATACCCGAGATCCCGGGGCTCTGCTGTCCTCTGTACGAGTGCCACAAACAAGGTAGGATATATCATACCGATTTCGTTGTTAATTCAAACACCCCACCGATATAAGAAATTATATTTTTTTTTCCTGCACGCGTTTCTATCAGCTCAATGCAAATAAGATGCTGACATTCATACGGCCCGTCATCGCGTTATCGCTATTTTTTCGTTTTAAAGGTTTTTTTTTTTTTTTTTTTTTTTTTTTTTTTTTTTTTT